ATAAGAGAAGACAAAGAGGATAAGCTCATCAATGGTTTAGGACCCTCGTGTGAATCTGACTCACATGAGAATGTCTTCACTCTTCACTTCGTGCATATCCTTTTGTAAAAATATTTTTCCACATTGATCCCATAAAATTACAAAATTCGTTATTATTCATTTCTTTGCACGACGAGTGCATAAAACCGTTATAAAGAAGCACTAAATAGTTATTTGCAGCTTAATGGGGTCGGTGTCGGTCCTGAGATTTTGGGGATCCTAAACCAAAATTTTTTTTTAAAGGGGTTATATATAGATAAATTTCTAATTTGGGGGTTTTTTCATAAACGAAAAAAATTTGGGGATCTATTTTCAATATTAAAAAATCAAAAATTTTCCTATGCTCAGGGATCAATCTATTAAAAAAAATTAGGGAACTTTTTTATAAAAAGTTAACTATAGAATGGTAGCTCCAAGTTATAAATTTACTCACTTGAGTTCGACATGTTTCAACATTGTAATTAGCATTTTTTTTTAAACGCTAACAATACAGATCATTGAATATAGTATAATCATTTTAGCTTGAAAAGCTAAATTTATATGAATACAGATTTTATCAAGCGATATACATAGAACATAAATATTGTCGAGGATATTTTTTTTATTCGAAAAGTAACGAATTGTTAAGTTCCACGTGGTAACAAACAGTAAGTGTCTAAATATAGTGAACCAATCCAGATCAGCGCTAAAGGATTACCATTCTAGTGGATGCTTAGTCATAGAAATCAGGTTCGCACAATTTGTTTCAATTTGCGCTGAGGAGAATCCTCTCTCGCTTAGAGACTCCATCGCCCAAAAGTAACCTATCGAACTCAACATGAAGTGTCAAAATACTTCGTCTACATCCTCTCATATCATTAGTGAGGAGGCTCGTATAGTTTCTTAGGCACCACCCTAATCCACTAACCGAACAATGATCAATTCAAAATGCACCAATCTGGCATATTGAGATTTGGAGGTTCCGGAGGAGCAATTCATGTGATTCATCCCGTTGGTGTTGATCATCTGCTTGTTCTTCCTTTTATCTTGGATTTGCGATATTCCAACTCTTCGTCTCACGGGTCGCTGTCTAGAGAGTATACCGTGAAAATATTGTTTTGCCGTTAAACATTTTATTATTTATGACCTTCCAGATATACCAGAAGATCCAAAAGATTTAATGGAAAGAATCCTTTTTTCATGATTGTTTTTGAATTTTTGTTTTTATTTGTTTTCACAGGTTATAAACTATTTTAATGTGAATCCGTGTATACGTGAATCCCTAATTTTGTGGTCCCTCATGATATATATCACCTGCCGTTGGCTTCAATTATCCGACCTTGCGTCGGTCACAATGTTCAACGTGCGTAGTTAGTAAGATTTAGCAGCCAGGTCGTTTGTTTTTTTTTCCAAAAGCAAATCATAACAAGCAACTATAAAAATATTAAAACAAACGTGATTCTCGACAAAAACATGTATCACAATGAATAGCATATTCACACACATATATATATAATACACACACACACAAATATAAAGCTATGTCTACAACTACAACCAGGTACCTAATACAATACTCTAATTCAATGGCGACTCTAGTGCAGATGGGTTCACCTCTTATATACAGTAATGCCCTTGTGAAGACTACTCGACGTCCTAAGTATTTTACATGCACCTCAGTGGCCAAAATTACACGGGGTGATGAGTCGCCCATGGTTCCTCGTCGTTCGGCCAACTATCAGCCTTCTGTTTGGGACCATAGCCATCTCCTCTCCGCCAAGAATAAATATGTGGTACGTAAGTAATACCTATACAATATAGATCTACCAAGATGTCGGAATATTTTTTGTTGTTGTAATGTAATACTTTCTTGCAACAAAATATTTTTTACTTTATTGAATGCTTCTAAATCTAAAGTATACTGAAGAAATATGAAGAGATGCGTTTCTCAAAAAAAAATGAACTAAATACTAAAGCACACCGAAGAAAATCCGAAATTTCGTTATCTATAGTTTTAAAAACTGAAAAACGAAAAGAATCAGAGAGCTTAATAGTGTTATTCTAGGAATATCATCTAATTAAAAGAAAAAAAAGAACTTTTGAGACTTTGGTAAAGAAATGTCTCACTCGAAAGAGACTTTTGAGACTGTCTCTAAACTGTTTCTACCACGTGTTGCTATATTACTAGTTGATTATTTATTTAATAAATTAATATTTAAAAAGTTAATAAAATTAAGTAAAAACTATTAAATTATTTTAATTTAGAGACTTTCAAGAGTCTCTCCTTTATTTATGCTCTTAGATAATGATGGTGATACTTTTGGAGTATCATTTAACTAAAAGAATATATAAAAAAAAATTTAGAGACTTTTGGGTAGAATCGTCTTATCGGAGAGAGACTTTTGATAGTGTCTCTAAACTGTTTCTGCCACATGTTTCCATATTACTGGTTA